GGGCCTCGGAAATGAGCGATAGACGCCGGTTGCTGATGGGCATGGCTGGTCTGGTGGTGAGGATGGTTGACAGCGGCTCGGTCTTCATCCAAGGGTTTCGAACCACGCAATGTTTTGAAAGACAACCAAGTGGTCTGTAAAGTGTAACGCAGTTGAAATCTGACGGTTGCTATTTTGGTGGGTGAACACAACAAATGAAAATGCATGATTGACAGAGTGCGGGCGGTGAAGGAGCAAAAGGCCGGATGAGTACCTTGGTTGGAATGCTACCTACCCTTTCGGAGCGAGACGACGATGCCAGAGGCAGCAACCACCGGGACAAAAGCTAGATTGCGGTTGGTGAGGGTTTGTGGGTAACACGTATGTTCGTCGCTTGTTAGTGTATTCATCCTGGAGACTTTGGCGGCACTGGCATGTGAAATTGTACCTGAAGAGGGCGGGGCCTGCAAAGTACTTTGTACGACCGTGTTTTCGCTTGCCGTTTTTGTTTCAAAGTCGAACCGAAAGCAACCTGGAGCCTTGTAAGTAACCTTGTGTTGGGTTGTCAAAAGTACAGAACTGAAGCGGTTCGCATCGACAACACCAACAAGGTTGCAATGATGCTGGGGGCTGCAGAACGAGACCTGCCCCACCATTGCATCGGAGCGGGTCTCGGTCGTGTGGATCCCCAGGTGTGTTGATCTTGACCAATGCAAAGGGCAGCATTGGCTACCTGGGGGAGTCTGCAACAACCGCCATCCCAGCAGACCAAACCCCAGTGGCTTGACTTCAACCATTGGTATGTAGGTTGTGAGAAAGGATCCAAATGGGACAACACGTCGGTGTCGGATGGCCCGGGACTCCGAATCCGGCAACGCTGTGGACGAACACTGCCACTCCCGGCCTTCTGGAAGCTTTCAAAAAGGACCACAGGTACGATCGGCCTGCATCTGGCAGAGAGCTTGTTGACGTTCGAGGCTCCCGCGAACTCTGCCTCTCACTGCTACCCTGCCATTCAACTTTCTCATCAATATTTTATATGGGGACCCGACGACTCTAACAGGACCCGGCTGGTCACTCATCCCCTTTCCTCACCACTCATATACTTTGACATACATACATAATTCCCATCCTCTCACCCTCACTCTCACCTGGAGCCCCTTGGCCCCCACCATAGTCGGCAACTGCTTTGGTAATCCCGTCCCGACCCGCTGTCCCCGAGGCACTTTGGTCAGCAACAACAACCCACACACTATTCTACGGCGCTAGCCACCTTGCCAACCGAGACTAAAAGTCCACCCGGCGGAGATTGTACAAGTTCAACGGTGTCGAAAGAGAGCGTCTTCGGCCTTTGCCTCCCACATTCTTGCGCCGACTCGCCTCCAAACGGTCTGGACCATCAACGGCAATGGCACGTGGGGCATTCGCAGCCCGCGCGTCCTTATTCTAAAGGTTAACCGCGCCCTCGATTTACATAAAGAGTAAATTAACTTTTCCGGCTAATGCGAGGCGTCAAACTTTTAGCGACTTTCTTTCTTTTCACTGCGCCATTGCCATCACTGGACTAGTCTGCCCTCGGCGTGCACCAACGTACCTCCATTTTCACCACACCTCCTATCAATCCATCCTATATCCTTCCGGCGCAACTTGCCACGGGTTCAGGCTGTGTGTGCGACAGGAAATCAAAAGAGAAACCTCTGGCTTGAGGGCTGGCTTCCCCACGTGCGATCCCCCTTCAGGTCGCTCGTCCGTCTCTGGCTTTCCCTGCTGAGCGGTTGTGCAGTTTGGATAGTCCAAGGTCACTCAGAAAAGACCTTTGTTCAACTCGATATTCATCTCGAGTGCGTCCGGATTTGTAAGACCGGCTTACATCGAACGGCATCAACCAGATATTATCACGGGGTTGTTTGGGGACAATACAAGACCAAACCCGGTGCCTTATTAGATAAGATAGGCCAGACACCATGACGTCGATTGTAAGTGAGCTTTGTTCCAGATTCACCCGAGCGCAACCCAAATCCTTGCCCCCGGGCCCCCTTTTGCTACCAAGTGAGTGTGGCATGTTCAGCCTGATGGTTGTTTCCACTCCAACACCCGGACCTCCAACTTCAACTACCCAACCACAAGCCCAATCTTACATCCTCATCCTCACTCTCACACCCACACCTTCCAACACCAACCAAGTACCTTCTCTTGATGCTCACCGCCTTGCCCGTTGCTCATCCTGCTTGTTTCTTTTTGATCCTTTTCTGTCCTATCCCATCTCTTCCTGACCCTGCTCACTTCACCGGGACTGTCTTGTGTTCCCCCACGTTGCTGAACCGACAGGCTGGCGCGCTTGCAATTCGAGGTCGCAACGCTTGTGCTTCCTTCCTCTTATGCTTGCCTGGCCTTGTCTAAGCAAGTGTGGCCGGGCATATAGACTGGCATCCTTTACGGCTAGTTGAGGTAGAGGTAACACTGGAAGTTGAGCAGGTCAGAAAGTAGGTGCCCAGGCCGGGTGTACGAGCACATGATGCTTGCCGTCTCATCCTGAATTTCGCGGCGGCGCAGAAAGCGTTTCTTTAATCTCTCTCTGTCTCGTAGCGACGGGAACCCCTTCCGGCCTTTCACACAAGTTTCCGGAACACTCCCATGCCAATTACCACCATCCATCCCTTGATATTCTCTAGGGACGAAGCCACCTCTGATAATCACTACCACCACCACCACCACGCCCTCTACTACTACCATGTTCCTATCACACCATCACTACCCTCTCTTCTACTGCTCATGATTATAATCAGCTCTTCATCTCTTACAAGACAATGTTGTCTTGAGTCTGTTTGGGGCAATGGATCTCGAGGCCGAGACTTGGACCGCGTGTCCTTTGTTCGATTTCGTTGATTTCGACAGGATGCTAACACACACCCCTCGTTTCCAGCTATGTCTGGCGCATTATTGCGACCTTCACGGGCCCACGCCCTTGATGGTCACCGAAGGACTCCCTGTTCCGTGCAGCACATGTTATGAGGAGGGCCAGCAACACGACCACAGCAATGCTTCCGACCAGCCGGTTCCGAGTGCCACCGCAGCTAATGCCTCGGTCCATGCCGTAGCCGCTGCCGCCGAAGCGCTACGCCGAATGGACCTCGGCGGCGGTGGTCTAAGAAGCTCTTCTGCGCCTGTATCCGAGGAGCAAGCTCAGGAATATCGCGCCTCGCTTCGCCGCGTCTCCCAGACTGTTGGCACTTCCTCGGTCGTTGAAACTCCTCCACAAAGTCCGCAGATTCTAACCGGGCCCCCATTATCGCAACAGGAAAAGCGACGCAGCGATTCAGGATTTCGCAGGACCTATGACGACTACGTCACTCGCCGCGCCGGTCCGTGCGATAATTGCGCCTTGACGCTACCCAAACGACAAGAAAGTAGCAAAGACGCAAATCCGGAACCAAAGCCAGAGCAGGGGCCTACATTACGAACACGTGCTCCCTTTGCTCGCGTGTTCTCTGGAGGAATGGATGAACCATCACCGCCAATTTCACAAACATCCTCATCGATCCCATCCGAGGATGAGTCCATCACCAAGTCTCGTCCCTCACATCGTCGTGCTGAGACCACGGCCTCCTTAGCTTCACGCTCTAGCAGCAGCTCCGCCCAAGGGGTTACGGCACATACGCATTATCTCGACTATACCTCAACGCACGAGCCCGTGGCTGCAAATTCGTTTTCCATTGTTCGCGCATCCTGTCTGCGGACGCTCTCTCTGGAAACTCTTCCCCGACCTCCCGCTACAGGCTATCCTTCCTCAGGCGCCAATCCGGGGATAACGCCGAGCGCTTCACCCAGCCCCCCGGCTTACGTTACAACGCACAGTGTCGGCGCTGCAGCATCCGGTGGGCCAATATTCTTTGGCGACCCTTCTGCCGGCTACACAACGGCCTACATATTCCGAATCCCCGATGTCCATGCGCGAGGCCACAAGCGCGTGTACGCTTTCCTAGCCCTCAGCACCCACCGTGAGCGTCTTGCCATGAAGACCTTCGGATTCGTCGCTGCCGCGTTCCGTGACCTGGCGACTTGGATCCAGACACTGGCCGAGCAAGAAGCCGAAAGGTCCCTCCAGGAGTCATCAGCCAACAGCCCCGTTATGCCCGGAGGCCCTGGCTACGGAGGAAGCCTGCACTCGGAACCAGCAGCAACACCCGCCAACCACATTCCCACAGCCGGCGGACCGGGCGGCGGTAGCAGCTTTCTCATGGGCGGCGGCGGTCTGTCCAGGAGGATGGGCAGCGGTTTTTCTGCCTCTGGAGTCGCGCTGAAGCAGCGAGGCTTGGCTGAGCTGGTTGGTCTCCCTGACTTTTTTATTGAGCTCCACGCTAGGTTCGTGAAGCTCTTGCTTGACCTACGTGTCGTCTTGGGATCATGAAGAAGACAGGAGTCTTCCACCATAGACGCTTACGGACAAACAATCATACTTGGACGAACGATCATTGGCACCATGTACATATATCCATCCATCCATTCACGCGGGCTGGCATCGATCGTCACAACATCCAACAGAAACAAAACCACCGCCACTGCTACTACTATAACCGAGGAGACAGTTGTGTGTAACAATAGCTTGACTTCAACGTCAATGAAGAAGAAGACTCCCACTAACAAATATAGCACTTCGATGACAGACAGACAGGCAGCGGATACGGCAGCAGCAGTTGATATTACGAAATATGCAAAACTTGTTTTATGTGTGTGGGAAAGATTAAGTAATGGGTAATGAATTAATGACCTGGTAGAGAATTGCGCGGAAGGCTGGGCGCGCGTATAGAAGCAGGGTGCAGCCGACCGAGCGAGCAAGCGAGGTGTACGAGAAAGATAAGGGAAGGAGAGACTAGAGGTAGTATGTGAGGGGTGAAAAAAAAAATACCAACCATCTGCATTCGAGATCATTGATGCTTTTTGTCTTGGAGTGTTGTTCAATGTGGATGATTATGGATGAGCGGAAGCATCACGTGTTTCTTTTTCATTTTAGACGTACGGATGATGGATGGATGGATGGACGAAGCATTTTATAGGATCACTCGGTCGGTGGGAAAAGCAAGGAAAAGAAGGAAAAAGAGGAACAGCGAACGGGAATGGATGATATATGGATGAGTAGAAGGATGGATGGGATGTGTGTGGTTCTACCTTTTTTTACCCCCCTTTTTTTTTTCCCTCTTCCTTCGCCCTCGGCCGTTTCCATGCATCCACATTCTCATTCCCTACCTAACCTCATTTATCAACCACCATCGATCACAACCACCACCGCGACCCCACATTTTTCTCTTTTCTTTTCTTTTCTTTTTCCCTTCCCATGGACCTCAGAAGCATATGTCATCTTTTTATTTTTCCCTGTATCGAAGCAGCAGCTATATCGCAAACTGGAAGTGAGCGAGCGTGAAAGGAGATTGACTAAGGAGACCAAGGAGACCAAGGAGACCAAGGAGACTAAGGAGACTAAGGAGACTTAAGGAGCGGAGGGAGAGGGGGACTGAGTGTGTAGGACGACGATACCTCACGTACAGCCCAAGTATGTGGTCACGAGTAGTCACAAGTAGTAGTCACAAGTAGTAGTAGTCCCTAAGTAGTCACAGGAGGATATACCCCCCAAATAACATGGAGATGAACTTTTAGTTTTATCACTGTTCGTTCGTTTCCCCCTTTTCTTTCTCAGCATCCGTCGACATGGCAGTCCAGTACTTACCTAGATTCGACGTAACAGAGACCCCATCACTAATATATAGGATATTTATCGGACTTCACTCGTTGACTTGTTGGAGTAAGTAAGGTACCATCTTCCTCTCGCCATAATTCATGAAAAGACATATCGACATACTGTGAATCCGTTGCCTTGCCCTTCATTCCTTTTCATATCCCCTTCACCAAAGTGGGATTCACTGCAGCTACGGCGTTGCAGCCTTTTAGGAACGGAGACCTCACTACCATACAGCCATACAGGTATTTATGTATGTATGTTCTCAAAGAAAAATTGTGGCGTACCACGCACGAGCTGGAGAGAAGGAAAGCGCACTGAGAACTCAATTCCGCCGAGCAAGTTGATCTGAACATGTAAGTAGTTATCAGCTGGGAGCCAGGGCATCTTGCTACTTTTCAATTGGGTGCTACGGCAAATTCAGTTGGAGCAACCCCAGAGAGGCACGCACATATATATATGGTGGTGCCGGTCCAGATTCATTCGCTAGTGTACATATTTGGTTCGCTTCTATGAACGTCTACAGTTCCTGCTGATCTGGGGCACAAACTATATTTCCCCAAGCCAGCACGAAGCATAGCACCAACCCACCCAAAATGCAATCTCCCACATGGTCCGTGGTCCTCGACCCCAACACAGCAAGCCCATGACGCCGATAGTTTACTTGTAGAAATCAAACTTGTTCTCGTCGCTCGTACCCTTCACCTGGCTGCTGTAGGCGTCCTCCAAATCAGCCTGGATGATGTTGTACCTGTTCTTCCGTACTGCGCGCAGACCGGCCTCCTGCATAATGGCAGCGATGACGGCACCGCTGAGAGGATCGTTGCGGACAATCAAGCTGTCCAGGTCGACCTCAGGGGCCAAGCTCATCTTGCCAGCAATCGTGGTGAAGATAAGACGGCGCTCGCGGCGATCGCGCAGGTTGGGGAACTCGATCTTGCGATCAAGACGACCGGGACGCAGCAGGGCGGGATCGAGAGTGTCGGCACGGTTGGTGGCCATGATCACCTTGACGTTGGCGGTCTGGTCGAAACCGTCCATCTGGTTGAGCAATTCGAGCAGAATTCTCTGCACCTCACGATCGGCACCCGTCTGCGCGTCGAAACGCTTCGTCGCAATGGCATCGATTTCGTCGATGAAGATGATGGCGGGCGCGTTCTCACGAGCCATGCGGAAGACGTCGCGCACCATGCGAGGACCCTCACCAAGATACTTTTGTACGAACTCAGAACCGACGACGCGGATAAAGTTCGCTGTCGTCGAGTTTGCGACCGCCTTGACCAACATTGTCTTGCCGGTACCAGGAGGACCGTAGAGAAGGACACCGCGCGGGGGGTCAATGCCGATCTGCTTGTAAAGATCAAAGTGTGTTAGGGGCAGCTCAACGGCTTCCCGAATTTCCTGCTTCTGCATATCCAACCCTCCAACATCGGCATATGTAACGTCGGGCTTCTCGTCGGCACCGAGCATAGCAATGGAGGAGTCAGCCTCGGGCGGCAAAATATCGACGACGGCATTAGAGTGACGGTGGAGCGCTACGGAGGATGAGGGCTTGAGGAGCTCGCGATCGAGAGTCGAAAGGATACGGACGACGTAGTTTGAGCCAGTACTGGATTGAACGATACCCGTGCTGAGGAAGGGTTAGTCTGGGCCAGTTTTGAAGACGGGGGGTGCATTGGGCGGCCATACTTTTGATCGATAGCTTCCATGAACTGTCCAATCACCAAGGGGACACTTTGAATCCTCTTGATTTCCTCCTGGGCACGTACAAGCTCACGCTTCAAGCTCCTGCCAGATACCATGTTGTCAGCCCCTCCTCATCAAGCTCTCAGCGCGTGGAGCTTTTGTAACCATACCTCTGCTCATCCTTGATGTATTCCTCTTGCAGCTTAATGTATTCCAGCTGCCTCTGAAGCTTCTTCAAGGTAATGTAGTCATCACCGCCTTCTGCTGACACGCCCTCAAAGGTCTCGATGTTGGGGATCGCCGAAGGGGCGGACTTCTTTTGAGGCTGGGTCACACTGGCCGGGGTCTCGACAAGGACGTCGCCCATCTTGGCGGATGTTTTCTTGTGATGGTATTAAATGGCTTGATCGATATATTTCCGTGCGTTGTGTCGCGAGCGCTCAAATGCGCGATTGTAATTGACGTGGGTTTGAGGGATCGGTCGGGTGGTAGTATTCCTTGTTGTTCTGTTGTCGTCGTCGAGGTTCGCCTTGTGGCGCGTGTCAGTAGTAGGTTGTCGGTGCTAGCAGTCGCTGATGCAGTGGTCGCTGTTGCTAGTACATAACAGCAAGCTGGGCTGGCTGTGGCTCGTCATTCATCTGGAGCCTGCGTTGCCGGGTGCTGCCATAAGCACAGTGATTGGCTGGATGACCTCTTTCTGGCAGTTATAGTGGGCTACTAAGCACAGCTACGGTGCATGCTCTGTACAATATAGCTCGGATAAATACCACACTGATTGTTGACAGATGGTCCCTTTTTTGTAGTCAAAAGTCGCACTTTACCAGGAACGCTCCAGCTGCAAGTGGGGCTGTTGGACAGTGTCAAGGGGTGACTGCCAGACAGTGCAGATTGGACTGCAGTGAACTGAAGCGGCGGGAGCCTTGTCGGTGGCTCCCCCCTCCATGCAGGTCGACCTCCACTTGGGTGCCACCATCGCAGTTGAGCGACTCCAGCCTTTCTCAACCCCACAACCACACGGGTACCCTTGCTAGGCGTCACGAAGTGTCACCTTGACGGCCAGGTCGGCTTGTCGTCCGTCGTCCTTCCCCCGTAACTTGTCTTTGGCTTGACCACTACACTCTCGATAATCGTCTCTTATTGTTTGATATGTCTTTTATGCCATCGCAATGTCCGACGTGGTGTACATGAGGTTGTGGGATATGGCAGATCCCATCGTCGCAACATCACTTCTCTGTGGCTCAACGTACACTACCGCGATAAGGGATCGAGTTGTCATTCATTCCGAAGACGGCCGATAGCAGTTTCTCCACTGTTTGGATCGAATGATGCGGCGATGATATGCTATTGTGGTCACCATACACCACCCTGCATCCCGTGTGTTAGCTAACACATCCTTGCCTGGCTCGGGCCCGTCTGAACGCATCATGGCCATGAAGCGGTGCTGATGAGGGATCGCGAGGCGTATGATGAATGAGAAGGGAGAGAGTTGGGTAGTTGAGGTTTGAATTGCGGCAGTCCAAAGGTCAAATTGCTGGCTTGACTCGATACACTCATTTTGCCTATACAGTACAGTAGAGCGTGTGTAGCCGGTGACTGTCTGAGGAACTGGGGTTGAACATCTTAAGCCCTGAAGGAGATCAGAGCCTGGGCTCCCGTCATCCGGCGTGTCTCGGTGTGAAGTTACGATAACGACAAAGATTCAGGAACTTTATGTAAAAGTACAACATGGATTGCAAAGCGGTATACTGTAAGCGCAGGAAAGTGCAGATTTACATACAGCAGAACTGAACTTCATCTACCCGTCCATCCCCGGGTCCCCTACGCAGGCAAGGAAGAGACCCCTTCAAGCATCCGGTGTAATCCCGTGCGTCCATGAATGGTGAATTCGTGGGAGCCGGGGGGACGGACCAGGAAACGCCCAACAACCCCATCCCCGTCCTAACTCAAGAGTCACCACTTTCGGATCGCCTTATTAGTCACTGTACACCTCCGCTTCCTCCGATCTGCCGTTACCTCCTGCTTTCCCTTCTTTGTTATGCTGAAAACCATCCTCATTTCACCTGATCTCTCCATCCACCGATACTCAACCGCCGCATCATTCGGCCTTCTTCACCTTGTCTAATTGTATCAGCGCCCGTCGCCGTCATTCTCGTCGTGTTCTACAGTGTCCTCGAATCACAACGTCCTTTGAATTTGATGATTCCTCTATCCCGGTGCACCTGCGCCTTCAGCACTCTGGTTGGCAACGACAGATTCCATTCATAGACAATCTTACCAATTACCATACGTTACCTGAGGTCACTTCTCCCCGCCAGCTCCCACTCGTCAGGCTCGCTTTGTGTAACTTGTCGGCCAACAACACCCAACTCCAACTGCTTAAAACCTACCTCTTAAATCATCAACTCTTTTCAACTAACCTTCCTCCGTCAACCGCCCGCCATGTCCTCTTCAATCCCCATCCCCGCACCGCCACCATCCGTCATGGGTATTGAACGTCGCCAGCTGAGCCAGTCAGATAATGCTGGTGGGAGCTCGTCCCCCGGGTCGTCATATTCCACCTCGCCGGAACCATCGCACCCCTCTTCCTCACCTGCCTCGTCGATGACGAAAAAGACACTGCTGCACGCTCGCCGTCCCAGCCTTTTGAGTAAGTATACATTTTCCCCGGATAAGCCATGCAACAAGGAAAAACACATAAATGGCGGCATTGATTTGCGCAGTCGTGCATATGCATTGTGAAGGTCACTAACCACTAGGTTTTAGGTTCGGCCATCTCCAAGCAGGAATGCACCACGATCAACATCGCCGAAGATAAGGATGGGCCGCCGGAGTTGGTAAGATACTTTCCTTTCTTGACCACCCAAATGATGTCTTGCCTCTTCCCTAGTAGACGCTTAACTAACCTTTTACACATCAGATCTCCTACCTCTCCTCAAGCCAAGGTTTCGCATGGAACCCCGAGATCTTTCTACCATCCTATGTCGACTACGATTATATCCCCCTCGAGAACCGGAGAGATCCGATCCATGAGATCATCCTAACGGACGAAGAGATTAAGAAGATCTTGCCGCAGTAAAAGCAAAAAGCACACGACGGCACACGACGGCACGCACAAGCGACCACCATCAAACACATTGTATTCAGTCATGCAACTACAAGCGCCACTCTTAGACCTGTCTCTTCTCACAGATATCTGCTCCACTTATTCACGGATTACGGCGTTACGACATGTTTTCTTCCTTTGTTTCGGTTCTAGGTGTTTGGGCGCCTACCTTGCGGTTCTTGCCTCCTCGAGAGTTCATTGGAACTATCGGCTTGATCATGTTGTGGTTTACACTGGCGAGGAAAGATCCTAGGACACTTCAGATGACCCAGATTCCTTGCGCGGTCGGGTTCGGGACACACTTCGAGCACAGTACAGTGTTACCGAGTAAGGGAGGGTATGGTTCAAGTTCCTTTTTTTGGTCAATTTGGGAAGCGCGACGGCGGGGGGGAACTAATCACGTCATGGTTCTGTCAAGTTTGGTATTCGGGTTTCGGGCGTATCGCTGGGTTCATCTATGTCAAGCATGACCTTCAGACCTCTTCCGAGTCTTGGGGCAATACTTTGACTTATTCTTATAGGGTATCACCCCTCAAGTATCATTCTTCTTTGTAGATAGGCCCTCGGCAAGCTACCTATCAAATGGTAAACAACATTTGGACGAGATAGAAAGAAAAGACGCATTGTATGACGGTGGTGTGCAACACGGTAGGGCGTACAAAAATGTCTGCAGTCTCTTGAGCACTTGCATAGATGCTCTCGGTGTTGTTCTGTTACACATGGCCATGAGACTCTCTTGCTGGGATTCCTTGAGAGACCGGTTAGCTGTGTTACCGCGGCCGAATGGATGTTGGGAACAGATCAAGACTCAGGTAAATATGGCAATGATTCAAGGTTGGTAAGATCTATCAGCATGCAGACATTTATAGGTTAGGTAAGTAACTGAACTGAATATTCTCTTAATACGCAGGGTCCACGACGAACATCCCGTCTTTCTCACATAAAACACAAGCAGGAACAAGCGCGCTTATCGCATGGACTGCAAAGAAGTAGGCCCAAGACAACAGTCTAGTCTCATAATTGTCCAAGTGCTGTGCAGTGCATAAAGTCAGTCTGACGGGTCGATGTTTCGAAGCAGTGAAATGTCCATGCAACTGGCGAGCGGCGACACCTTGTTGGCCAAAAGCGATCAGCGAATGCCGGCACTCCTGCAGCTCTTACACAGTTAAGCACCAGCCCCAGTTTTTGCCCAGGACAAGCCAAGCCCCACCATTTCGGCATCAGGGACCCCGCTCCACTAAGCGGCTGGTACCAGAAAGTGGGACCGACCTCCAAATTCGGGTTAGTGCCCGCCGATGTTAGGGACTCCACACAGTTTATCGATAAGATGCCCGATGGGGTGCAATGGGGAAGCGGGCCCAAGCGGGCCCAAACGGGCGCGGGCGCGGGCGCAGACAGCTTGAACTGCCTGAGGGTTGCATGGAACTGTGAACTGTCGCTGTCAACTTAGTGTCCAGAGTAAACAAATCAAGGACTGGACACTTCACGAATTCATCACCACCATATCTACTCAACGCATTTACCATTGGGTATCACAATCTACGAGAATCGTCGACCAAGCAATAGACACACTCCCTCAAAAGAAATCATTTCCCATCATCCGCGACACATCACCAACCGCCCGTCCGCCCGCCCGCCCGCTCATTTGCGCCGCGATGGAAATGGAATCCGCTGTTCATCGTCGAATCGAGCTTCAATCGCCCGAAGACTTTACCTATCTAATCGAAAATGTACGCCGCGCCGCAGCGGATAGCATCAACGCCGCGTTTCCGCCTGTTGACGCGGGCGACAGAAATGGGGAGGACGAGGAGGAAGAAGATGAATTGCGCGTGAGGATAGAGCAGTTGGTTGATGATGTACGTGTTTTATTTATCCCCTCCCCTTCCCTCCCTATAGACTCTTCTACTACGCTACCCACCAACTAACACCAAACAACGCAGTACATAACCAAAACCTTCACCTACGTAGCCCCCAACATCTCCATCAACGGCCTCCCCGTAACCGACCCCTCGGAATTTTTATCATCTCTGTCCTCATCCCCACTCACCTCCCCTTCTTCCACCACCACCATCACAACAAGAACAACCAACGGCACCAACAACAAAAAATCCTCGGCCAAATCGTCGAAAATCCAAAAGACCAAGTCCAAAAAGAAACCAAAACCCCAAGAAGAATACGAACCCTTCGACCCCCGCAAACGTTCCCGCCTCGAAACCCTCGCCCGCGAAGAAGAAGATCTCCTGCGCTCCATCGCTTTACTCAAACGACGCGTACCTGCCTCCGCCGCTTCGGCGCTGGCTGAGTCTTTGGCTCGGCAGACGGAAGCAGACCAAAAGGCGTTGGACAGGGCCAAACAGAAAGTGGTGGAGGAGGGGGTGGTTGCTGGACGAAAGGCTTTGGAGGGGTTATTGCCTTTTGTTGATGCTGCTGGTGCTGCTGCTGCTGCTGCTGCTGCTGCTGCTGCTGAAAGTGGAAATGGAAGTGGAAATGGGAGTGGGGACGTAACAACAGGAAAGGGAGGAAAAGAAAAAGGAGGTGCTGCTGCTGCTGCTGGTGCAGCAATGGACAGGCAGGAAGAAATAGAAGATGGGTTTGGAAAAGCGGTTGAGGCGCTGAGGAGGCTGAAGAGTCAGATGCCGGCTACGGTGGCGAGGATGGAGAGAGCGAGGGTTGCAGGGGGGTATGTTGTTGCTGGTGTTGGGGGGAGTGGTGTTGTTGCGGCGCCTGGGGAGGGGAGGTAGACATGTTGTTGGTTGGGTTGGCGAAACTTGTTGGCGCTGCGGGAAAAAAAAAGTTGTTGGGTTTTTTCGAGCCGGCATGTTAGAGTCGTTGCTTGTTGGAACATTGTTTTGCTTTCTGTAGGACGCTTTAAGCGATTAGATTTTGAAGTTAGGGGCGTATTGGCATGGCCATGACTACGGACGGAATACCAAAGCAGACATGTGGTTACTGTTGGGAATTGCTCTAGATTTGTTGATGTCTTCATCTCTCAAATACCAGGCAGATACATCATAAACGGCCAGAAACAAGTAATCTATTGTATATCCCTGTGTATACCAAAGAGACCACCTCCGACAAAGACGCGAGGACTCGACATACGCTAATGTAAAATCACCAGTGCTAAGTTCAAACCGGATTAACGTTTCCGATCTCGCACTTGAAAATACCCTGCAAACACAACCAACTCCTACCCATTACGGCCACTAAGTTAGTCTGGCCGAATGATGACTTCATTACAACTGAATACTCTTTCATAGCGTATATAGACCCATGATATTTCATGTAAGCAAACCGCGTTAACAGCCTTCCCCTCACAGGCGGAAATGACGCCATCTTTTGGGGGGACTCGGTGATGCTTTGCCCTTCGAACTGCCGTCTTTCTGACTGGAAGCCGTCCTCAAACCTCCACATTGCATCTCTTATGCGGCAGCGGGAGCAGGGGCGGCAGCCTCAGTAGCAGCGACGGCAGGCTCGGCGGCGGGAGCAGGGGCAGCCTCGGTAGCGGCAGGGGCGGCGGCGGGGGCAGCAGCCGCGGGAGCATCAGCCTTCTTCTCCCACTTGGCGGGACGGGCCCACTGCTCCTCGCGCCAAGGACCCATGTCGCTCATGTGGCAGCCACCGGCGCACTGGCAGGTACCGCCAAACTCCTTGGGGAGGTTCTCAGCGGGCACCTGCCCGAGGAGCTCCTTGCTGTAACCGCTGCCGAGGACGTGGATCTTGGAGACGGTGACGGGGTCGAGCCAAGCCTTGATGACGTTCCAGACGGTGCTGAAGCCCCAGGGCGCGTTGATGAGGTAGAGCTTGCCGAGGCGCTCGGGGTAGTAGTTCTGCGAGAGGGTGGAGGCCTGCTTGACGTAGCCGAAGACCTGGGGGGCCTTGGTGAGACCGACGCCCTTCAGGTCCATGATGGTGCAGCACGTCTCGAGGAGGACACCGGCCTTGCGGGAGCAAGCGGGCAGGCGAGGGTCGGCGAGACGCTCGTACTCGACAGCGAGGTTGGTAAGCATGCGCTCGGCTGTTGTGATCTTGTACATGGCATTCAGATCGATCTTGCCAAGCTGCTCGATGTAGACGGGGCGGCCATCCTGGTGGGGAACGTCATGTTAGCCTCGTGTATTTTCTTTTTCTGCTCTCTATTGTCGCAGCCCATAAATGCAAAATCCGGAGAGAACTGGTGGCCGTACCTTATCGGTCTTGTGGTAGTATTGGGGGTAGTACTTGGAAACCTCTTCCTTCTCGGGGTACTCCCACTCAGGGACGGTCTCGTCAAGCTTGGTCTCTGCCCTCCACTTCTCGCACTCGACGAACCTTGTGTTTGATGGTCAGCGCTTCAAAGTCGAGCGATACTGGGCAGATTTCGCGCTTACATTTGCTTGGCGAGGTTGACATCGAACTTGCGGGCGCGGAGGAAGCGCAGCTATTTGCGGAATGTGTCAGCACCTGTCTATCCCACCACTTCTCCTTCTTCTTTTTCTTCTCCATTTCTCCCACTAGCATCGAGCATCATATTGCATACCAGCGTAAGGGTGTCGAGGCGCTTGGTGTAGCCCTCAGACTCCAGCATCAGACGAAGCTGGGTGACCTGGGCCTGCTGCTGGGGAGTCAGATGGCCGGGGTGGCCCTCCTGCGCGTCGGGCGCGGTGGTAGGGTAGTCATAGTCGTCGTACTTGGGTTCGAGCTCCATGTTGGCGGTTGTTGTGGTGTTGTAGAGGTAGGTAGGTAGGTAGGTTGGCTGAAGCGGGGTGTTGGGGTTGGATATTAGGAAGCTGAGGCAGGAGACGATGAAGAGACGACAATGATGTGTACAAACTTGGAAAGTAGAGTAGCGTTATAGGAGATGGATGGGTAACGCAGTCGTGGCAAAAAAGGTTGGTCCGAAGGGGAAAGGGTACACAGTCGGCTACAGAGTCAAGGCAGGCAGGAAGGGGAAGGAGGCCGGAGCCCGCCCGTGATGGAGATGGTTTAATTGGGGTTCCGTTGCAGAGGGCCGGGGCCCCTGAGATTCCGCCTGCCCCTGGGGCCGCCTGCCCGCTTGGGACCCGACGTTGGGGCCCCATCCGCTAAGCTGCTTTCTGCTGTTGGCGCAGGGCATCCAGTACACTGGTCTGCCGTTCGCCTGCCGCCGTACCAGACAGAGACAGACTCAAAAGACTCGGGACCCCGTCTCCGAAACGAATGCCGTCGTCATGGCGGTCAAGACCACAGATGTGCTTCCTCACTCCCGAAATAGGGGTTTCAGTTTCCAGGGGGCGGGGGTGGCTCACTTTTGACAAAACACTGACAGCGAAACAGACAGGTCAACGGCCGCCCGAGCGCCCTACCTACATGCGCATTGGCCCCCCGCCCATCTGATTGTCTCGACTGGCAGGACACTACCTACTACTATGTACACTACTGGATAAGACTTGGGTACACCACTCGATAAACGATGGCGACGATCGATCCGCGACTACATACAATACAACTCACCAGACAAACTTGCCCCCTCAGCCACGTGATCTCCTCGGATTGGCTTTTAATAACGTTGCGAGACTATCTCGGTGTATGTTTGCGGTAGGTATCGTGACAATCTAAACACTGAGCCAGAGCAGCGACCTCTCGTGTAGCTAAGTAATAGACAGTAACTTCCATGACAGCCAAGAACCCGGGCGGGAAATATAAAAAGTCATCATCGTGCCTTGATCATGAGGCTGTGGTCGTTGGAGGCCGCCAAACTCAAATCCTCTTTAATCTCTCGCGGTTGTAGCCTTGACCCAGGCCAGAGCGAACCTCATCTCGCCAGTCCCACTCCAGTCTCTTCAACACGACAAACCGCTTGCGTGGCCCTTGTTCTTTTATCTCGTGAACAAAATGTTACTGAGCGTAATACAACGCAGAATATCTGTGAGGTGTCGTTCGTTAAATTGTTGCTTTCAAATCATGTCCAACTTACCAAGCCGTCGTGAACCTCGTCTCACATGATCGCGGCCAGCAGCCTCGGCCTGCCTCGCTATTCCGGACATTCTTCAACCGTCGTTCGTTGCCAAGGCATTTCGTGATGGTGCATTATGTCCTTGCTTTCTGTATTGACCTAATCTCTTCTTCAACCGTCCGACGCCGTCTCGCTCTTCTTTCCTTTTGTCTTCTCCTCTTCCTCCTTCTCTTTCCTCTTCTGCACAACGTCCCAGTTGTACACTCTCGCAACCGCAACTTCCATCGTCTGTGGCGCATCGTTCAGGTTAGCAAAAGGTTCCAGGATTGGTAACAGAACCACCATATTCTCGTTCTCCGCCCAACACGTACCGTAATCTGCTCTCGCAAGAAATCCAGATCCTCCTCGCAGTTCTGCAAGCTCTGCGTCGCCGCCTTGAGCTTCGAGTCAAGCAGCTGCTCGGCCTCCTCAATGGGATACGACAGCATGACGTTGGCGCCGAGCCAGATGTACACCTCGTCCGTGGGTGGGATCTTGGCCTGGGCGTAGAGAGTCTCGTTGAGCTCGAACGTGGTTTCGATTGGGTCTGATTCGTCCTGTAAAATGAATAAGTAAAAAGGTGTTCTTGTCAGCATGTCTCGTTCGTGTGCGACCGTATCGTCGTCCATCCATCCATTCATCAATCCACATCCTTGTTGTTCATGCTCGTTCTTGGCCTTCGGTTCTCAATTTCCCCCCTGGCGCATTTGGTACTGTATCCGCCGTACAGCTAAATCCAATGTATCGCCCTTATCTTCGCGTGCCCTGAAGACGGAGGTGTGTGTGTGTGCATGTGCGTGTGTGTGTCGTACCTTTCTCATCTGCAGGAACCGCACCGTGTCCAATGTCTTCTGGATATCCGGCATCTTATCCTTCAAGCCCACCACTCGTCGCTGGAGGTTCTGCTCCATGAACTGGTACTTGGCAATCAACTCTTGGAACCGCCTCAGGGTGGGCTCGACGTCCGCGCGAGATGTGACATAGTCCTCGACCTTGTCGACGAAGGGCGCTTGGGGGATACCTCGGGGGTTCGCGGGCGTGGCATCACTGTAGGTTTGGCGGAACGCGGGAGCAGCAGGTCAGCTTATTTTGTCCTTCTACACTTAGGTAGGCTAGGCTAGGCTAGGCTATGCTAGCAATGAATACTTGGAGTCATGTCTGACTGTTGAAGTTGGGGGGATCAGGAGGGCAAGACGTTCGTTTGTCCTGTCACCATAGAGCTGGCATGCCCAACATAAGCTTTGATGCTTGGCCAAGGTAGGGTAAGGTAAGGTAGGTAGGTAGGTAGGTAGCTCAACTGGGACTGACTTACCGACCCGCAGTTTCTACTTCTTTTCCTTTGGTTGCCATTTTGAGTATGGACCTTACATGTCGGGTTGTAAGGGGGAAAAGACCGATCAAGGCGGGGAGCTTCCACTTGCGTGCCTCGCGCAGAGCTCGTTGTTTACGTAGGTAGGTAGGTAGGTAGAGGTAGGTGCGATATGGTCATGGATGGAACCCCAAGGGCTGGCTTGCCCGCCCGCACCTCGCTGAGCTCGCTCCCCCGCCTGCAGCCAGGAGTCCGGTCGAATCGATTTCATTAAGGTGGGGCAGGCCCCTGCCCGCGTACAGTACAATTCACCTCTGGAAAGTTTTGTTAGGTAGTGAGAGACCTTGAGTCAAGGGAGTTTCTGGGCGGGTGAATCCAAGCATATGTGCTTCACTGGATCGGGAAGGCTTGGAATCAAAACGATCATGTGAAGTCCTCGTTTTTTGACGTGTCTTTTGCGGGATTGAGATATCTGTACATGTCTTTTGTGTGCTATGGAACTGCTGGCGATGGCTTCATCAAAAGATCCGGGCTAACAAACAACCCACCGTTGGACTGTGATGACGACCCTGATACTGTACCTATGTAGCCCGCCCAGCGTTGGATTAATCCGTCAGGGGCTTGCTGATAATGCGCTCAGGGTCTTACGCCCGACCTAAGGATCCACGATTACCGCTCGATCATCAAAACGTTCCGGCAGCGAGGCCATCGTGGAGACAACGAACCGGGACTAGTGATCGATTCACTTTGAAATCCTACCTATATACACGACATACCCCATCAGACCTACCACCAAGTCCAATCCTTATTTTACGGGTGCACCCGTTGCGACTGATGTCACCGGCCTTCTGCTACTGCTGCGAACCGTTGATACGGATTCAAAAAAAACAGGTATGTTCCTTTTTTGCACACGGAGTCATCTACAAGAAAGCGAATAAGAATATCCAATATAAAAAGAAAAAGAAGACAAAGAAGAAAAACCCCATAAAAAAGGCCAGAGAAAAAAAAATCCAGAGCCACAAGGTTTGAAATCCAAACAACACTAACCCAGACGCCCCAGAAAAAGTCCCCAACTCACTCACCCCCTCCCTCCACCCACCACCACCCATAGGTGGCCGCTCCATTCATGGGATCCAGATCCCTCACCCGGCAATCACCCTCGTTGGATATCCATGCGTATCGAGTCCCCGAAAAACAACAATTGCAACTCCCCCAAAAATGGCAAAAGCAAAGAACCGCGCGCTCGAGACAACCCGCTTGCTCGCCAAAGCCAAAAATTCGAGAATACCGGTACCTAATTTCCTGACACCAGCCGCAATGCGTCCCTTTTGCTCTCGTATGCTCTCCGCGTCTTCTTCTCACATAGGAAAAATACCCACTCAGGTCTCACGAGGATGAGACGTCCTCCATCGAGCTACTATAGCCACTCTCTGCCCCACCAGCGGTTGCAACCGAGCTGCCAGTGTGCAGCAAGTCCACCTCTTTTCCGGTGACGGCTGCCAATGGGCTGTCGTCCCCATCCACCGCTCCTGCCCGCGGCATCATCGACCGCATGTTGTGGCCGCTGTCCGACATGCGATTGTCGTCGCTGTCCATCCGCACATCAGTCTCGGTATCAAACGCCAAATCGTCCTTCCGCATGTACGTGTTGTTGTCCGAGAAATGAGGATTTGCTCGGCGCGAGATCTGCCCCTCAGAGTAAGAATCTTCCTCCACCTCCTCCACTTCTTCATCATCCGAAGCTAGATCATCGCCATCGTCCCAGCTGGAATCGGTACTGAACGGGGGATAGAATATTGCCGGAGGAGGGAGTGAGGCTGGATTCAGCCGTCGGAATTGCCCAGAGACGTATTCAACCTGTAACGGCGCGACAGTCAGCCTGTGACTGCGAGGAGGCAGAGGCGACGACGTTCTTATCGCTGCCAAGCGTTCGGCGATGAATTCAGCCGTGTCTTCCGATGTTGTCGAGCGTGACAACTGCCGCTGCAAGATAGGTCTGATGACGCGGCGAGTGGTGACGAGCATGACAAAGTGGTCGTCAGGAAGTACTCCACCAAGACCAGAGGGTTCCATGACTTCTTTGGCAATAGGCTGAATTCGAACCTTGGCAGGATCCTCGCACCATGGGAAGACGAAATCCTCGTCATTGGGCGAGGAACCGTCGTCGGCCACGAGATCAGGCGGGTTTCCGGGGTCAAAGTCCAACGCCTCGGCCACGCGGGCCCGATCATCACTGAGCGGCCTAATGGGAAGAGACGATCCAGACAACGTCCGGTGCAGCACATGTTCAACTTCATCACCAGATCCGGATCCTTCGACCTCGCGGCCGGCCGTCATTTGCACTGTTGGCGACATATCGCCAGGGTCTCCTGAAAGATCGGTGCAGAACGGAGCGCCGGTGTAGTAAACGATGGCGCCGTCATATCGACGCTTCCTCCGTTGTTGCGTTGTCCCCGATCCGCTAAAATCCCACTTCGAGTTACCCATGTTGCTCTCATCGACAGCATCCTCTGAGCCTTGTGACATCGACTCCTCCAAAGAGGTCTCGATCGATGATGAATTGCGGTGTACAAACATCGGTTTGTAATGGAAGGTGTCCGAAGGAGACCTTGAGGGACCGAACCTCCCAATCTCTGAAGTCGCCTGCTGCGTCTTCCGCTTCTTTCTACGACCATTCTTATCCGAGCCGTCCTCGGTATCTTCTGTCAGAGGGCTTTTCTGGGACTTGTCCTCGCTGCTGTCACTGCTGAACTTGGTTCCATCGGTTCCGCCACGCCAGCGAATTTTCCGGCCATCAGCAGACAGCTGAAACTTTGTACTCTTTTCGGAGACGGCTTGGCGAATAAAACTCGGCGTTACGTTCACCATGTGCAGCTGGGCGAGGTTGCAAAGCAGATTGAGATACACCCAGCCTTCCGCATCCGGAGCGACATCTTGATAGCTGGTCCGGCTTCCCTGCAAGAACTCGGGAGATACCAGGCCCAAATGACGGATGTAGTCCATATTCTCGGATGGTATCTGGACTCGATCAGGGTCCAAATCACGGGGCCTGGTTGGTCGTTGGTCCGGTGCAATAGCTCCCGGGGGCGAGGTGTTGTTACCAGTGCGACCGCCGCTTCCACTTCCATCTCCACTTCCAGTCCCAGTTCCGCCAAGTTCGGTTTGATCGCCACCCGAGTTGGATGCAGAACCATTGTCTTTGGAGGAACGGTTCTTCTGCGGGTTGTCTCCATCCTGTAGTTGGATGCAAGCTTCGCGCAATCCTTCCGGAGGGGGGCGAGGGGGAGCCATGTTGGTTCCTTCCGGCGCGAGTGGTGCATCCATGCTCGGCATCGACTGGTTGCGCTGCATGTTTCGTCCACTGATCTTTCCGGTGAACAGTTGCTCCAAGCGTCGGACAACCAGCTTCTTCTTCTCCTTGTCGGTCATGACAATATGGTGAGGAAGCAGGCCATCGGGCGTGTCGCGGAGATAGTGTTCTACCTTTTGGGTCCCGACGGATTTGGCCCTGGTCAGCGAAGGTCGTCCGAGCGACGGACCGGAAGAGTGGGGCGCATGAGAGCTACGGCCCGTCGACATAGAGTTGTATGCAGAATCGACAGGACGACTGCGCGACGATGACGACGAATCGTGTTTCGACAACGATACCCCAGACGAGTGAACGGCCGTTCCATGTCTGCCAGTCTTTCTCCTCTGCGATGTCGATTCGCTCGAGTCCCCGAGACTGGCAGCAAAGTCGCGGAGCGTTGCCTCCAACTCACGTTTCTTTCTTCTAGGTAAGCCATGTACCTTGATCTCAAACAACTTCTCTTTCCTCATCACGTCGGAACCAAATTGCTTATACCTCTTCAGTTCCTCCTTCAGCCGCTTGTTTTCGACAGTCAAGTCGTCAATGACACTGCGGTAATCATCGGCGGCGCTGCTGTGCGCAGCAACCGGGCGGAACCCGGGTAACTGGACACCACCGGGCGGATGTACGGGGTTTCGTCCAGGCGGATACCTGGATTCCTCGTTGGAAGAGTCAGTCTCCTTTTGATAAAAAGGAGGATCGACTTCCATGATGTGGCTCTCGTCATGAAAGGCCGCGGCAGGGTTACGATTGGATTGATTAAACCAATTCGTGGGCTCACTCTCTCCAGACGAATTCCTTCGGGTGGGCGAGCTCCTGAGTTGGGGTTGGGATTCGGTCACTCCCAGTGCGGAAGATGAAGTAACTCTGCTGCTAGCATCTCGCGCAAGGCGGTGATTTTCAAGTGTTATTGATTTGTCTGGGGAAGCACGTCGGGGGAGAGGGTGACCACGGCTGTCAAAGGGTGGCGGGCGCATGCCCTGGGATTTATCCCCACTATCCGCCATGTTCACCCTATCAGATCTTCGTCAGAAGACTGCGATGCTACTCACGTTCGAGCAGCTTGTGGGGAATTTTCATGATACGGCTGTGTGCGTGTCCTTACGACACTTGAGCTGGGCGGATGCCCTCGAGGCCTGAGACTATGGAAGCCGCAGACCGGCAGGCAGAAGCGAGAGGGGGTGTCTCGGGTGTCTAAAGAGCGAGCAAGCTAAGTTAGAAAACTGAGCAACAACGGTGCAAAATTTTCTCGGTCAAGGCACTAATGAGGTTCGAGATTGGCAGCATGAAAGCCCCCCTGGTGTATCGGAAGCACTATCCGGGGGCAGTCGCGCCATGGTGAAGCACGCTAGAACGGGCATCAATGAAGATTAGAGTCCCGAAATCAACAAACATGAGCGGGAGAGAGCAAAGGTGGTGGCGAAACGAAAGTGCTTCTGTTCAGACTCGTTGAGATACACGGTCAAGCAGCGACAATCTTGGGCTACCTCGACGATTGTTGGGTATGAGGGAGAAAAGAGGAGGGAATCTCGACACAGAGGCGCAAAGATAGAGAAAGAAAAGAGCGACAAACAGAACAAGGGCGTTGAACGGTGGGGAGGAGGAGAGGTATTGAAAAAACCAAGAAAAGAAGAGGGTCGAGTCAGAAGCTCGCGGAGACGGACATGAACGCCGGTGAGGTGGTTTGGGCAAGATAGGTGGTGAGAATGGATGAGATGCCGTGGGTAGGTTGAGAGTGTTCCTGCTTCAGGAACAGGGAGTTTGTCGGATGGATGGGGAAAAAAAGGAACAGGTGGAAAATAAAGGGGGTATTGCGATATGGGCAAAGTTGAGTCGGATTTACCTTTGATTTCTGGGCTTTCCTGGGTCCAGTTGAGGGTATGGTGTTGGAAGGTAAACAGAGGAAGGCCGTTAACACGTCGTGAGAATCGGTGGTGGTATGGTCGCAATAGCCAGGCCAAAATTGAGGAGAGATCGGCAGTCCCCCCCTGGGGTTTCCTTTGGAGCTCAGGCCCGGGTGCTTGACTTGAGGATTTGGATAACTGCTGCTTTTTCTGCAGCGAGGGTTTCTTTGGTGTGCGAAGTGGATGCGATGCAGCAAAGACGGTTTCGTTCGGATTTGCAGTTATCGCAGGATAAACGGAGAAATGACTATACAGCCAAGTTTTGGAACAGGTCTGTTGGCGTGGGCTACCTACAGGTACCTTAACAGGCCAGTGTTGGGGCCTGTCAATCCGCCACACTGCTACGTTCTGGTTCCTCTGGGGTGGATGGGACCGGACTTTTAGGTTGTGTGATGGGGTGAAGCACTGCGGCAGGGGGGTGAGATGGAGGTACTAACAAAGTACACGACTAGCCCGAGGCAATCGACAATCGAATTCCGGGTCGAAGTGTGTTTGCGGGCGGTCAGGTGAGTGAGGGTGCGGGTGTGTTTCTGTGTAGTTTGGGTAATCAAGATAATTTCATCCAATGCCGTTTTTGCAATGGAGTGTGTAAAGATTCAGACTGGGGCCGGCGTGGAAAGGGGAGGGAGGGCCAGGAGGGGACGAGGGGACTGGACCGGAGCACATACTTACGTTGGTTGCGAATAGAGGCACGCGTCGTGCTCTCTTGCTCACTTTCCCACAGATGCACAGGAATCGCCCCGATCCTCACCACTGCCCAGGTTCCAGGGGATCGAGCGGATCGAAAAGTTCAGGGTCCTCTGCGGCCGCCGTCTAATTGGCCAGCTGTCGTCCGGTCCCCAGAGGATCAAGAGATACTTGTAGGCCCGCTCCCCATCCATCAACCTCCCCAACTTGATCCTCACTTTGTCTCCGCCGCAAAGCCCTCACGACAAAACGCTGGGGACATGACCAGCAGCTCTCGCCCTTCATCTCTTCAATTGACCGGTCTTTTCCCTCATGTTTCTGCCAAAAAGCCATCGTACAGGGCCGACAATGTCAGCGCCCGGTGGGGAGAGCTCAGGTGTTCTTTGTTAGAGGCCAGGAACACCTTGAATCGCTTTGTTCACCCCGCCCGGCTCGATAAAATTTGAAATCCTCTTAACCCACCATGTATTGCTATGGTGTTGTGGGTAAGTTTAAATCTGCGCTCGTCGTCTCCACCTCATGAATGCAGTTTCCTACCTACCAGCAGCTCACTTGGCCTCTCACTCTTTGGCAACTCTGAACCAGGAGCGACGACCTCGTAACCAGATTTTCAACGCAACCCCGCCCCGTCGCAACGGTCATAACCTCGTCTGGAATCCCCTACCTAGCACATCCGGATGGTTCGCTTCAAAGCATAATCAATCAATCAGCATGGTCGCCGGGAATCTGCATCAATCAATGACCGAGCGAGAGAGCACGTGCGCCTGACTCGCAAGCAATCCAAGGAAAAATGTGAGGGACGGAAACTCCGAGCGCACGCAGTTTGCTGGCTAAAAGGCGCCTCCATTCGCACCCGTCTCGTCGGTTATCAGGATCACCGGCTGCGCTCAGGATTGTGGGCGGCTCCACCTTGACGCCACGCGGGGTGGGCCTATTGAGCAACGTCCCACATCATCTAACGTCATTGCTCGCAAAGGGGTGCGCTACAGTGACTTTCCACAACAGCCTGGCGGGAAAGGTGGCACAGGAGGTCGCGGCGGTGGGGCTTCGACCGAAAGTATCTTGAGCCTCCAGATCTCAATTTTGCAGCGTCATCGGTCTTGCAGCGGCATCAGGACGCCTCGGGCACCGTACTGGTTGTCCGGCCAAACTCTGGAACCTGTGGGGATGTGGGCGCGAGCTTGGCTTGAATGGCCTCACCCATGAAAAAAAAAAAAGAAGTCAAGACGGAACGGGAGTTGCGGCAACCCGACAAACTGTGTTCCCAAAATGCCTTCACAAAACGGTTTGCGCAGAGTACATGACCTACGAACCCTGAAAGTACCCCGACGTGCGACCATGGTTCCACATGGAAAACCCCTACATTTTGCATTTGGCGAGCGGCGGAGTTGAACCCTTAATTCTCATTGAAATGCCCCGCGACAAATAAGGGTTTTCCAACGGTTTTGCATAATCTTGGTAGGTACGTGTGTGCCCCGTATGGAAATTTGTGGTGGTGGTGGAGAGCTCGCATTTTTAACACAGATTCGATATTCAGCGGGAGACCGCGAAGCCCTTGTGTTTTTGGTGGTGGTGAGATTCAGGCCACCATGCCGCCAGGTATTGCCAAGTATTCTTCTCTTTTCAGCAACAACATAAAGAGAGCTTATCCGGCTGGCGCACCACGTCTGTCTCTCTCACATGGTACAGACGGTGCCGGCTTGTCGCAGTGTCTCCAGTCGTCCGTCATGCCTTTTGAGGTTTTGGATCTGATGACGGGCAGCAAGTGGAAAAGATGCGGTACAAGTTCATGTTGACCCTGACAAACATCCGCTGCTCAGCTATCCGTTTGAGGTGCAGATTCTTGGGCATCTCGAAGGAGACTTTGTGCAATGCTAGAGCACGTAGAGAGAAGGTAAAAGGTTGATTGATGATGTGTGACAAGCCATTCCCGGTAACCACCTGCCGTCTGATCTCGATGCCGTCTCCTCATCACTTTGAGAGGTTGTCACCAGCCGACACTGAGACAGATTTTCGCAGTTTGGTTTTGTCAGCATTTACTTGGGAGAAACACGGGGAGTCATGAACGGTGGAAACATGTCGAAGATGAAGAGATCAATTTGGAAACGTCCGTCGTTGACACTACTATGGTACATAGTGTAAGTGGAAAGTCCAAAAGCGCAGTTGCGAGCACCCGCGATGGTCCCTGTAACTTTCAGCTGCTAGAACAGAGTACGGGCAACAGTTCGCTCTTGAGTCTTGACAGCTTGCGCAGGGGCTCCGCAACTGGTGCAGCGCCCCTGTCACCTGGCAACAGCTGTGGCCAGCCGCGCCTGGCCAGGTCCAGACCCTTTTTCATTCATGGTGCCAAGACGATAGTCTTAACGGTCACAGCATGACGTCACACCTCTGTTCGGATATAACTTGTTAGCTCGATACGTTGGTTCTCCAAGAAACAGGGGCCAGACAGGTGCTAAGCAAGACATTTCTTGTGTGGATATTAAAGGTTCTCTGCTATCCCCAAAAACCACGCTAACAACCTCAAGTGATCTCCATGCAGAGGTGTACACTCACGGAACGGTAGCAAGATCAAATATCAAAAATGCTAAGAAAGTCTGGTAGTAAAGAGTCACCTTGGTGACCTCCAAGTCGACCCTTGGATCTTCGTGTATATTAGCGGTATATGAGCAGGCGTTCAAAAATGTCTTGGAATGACGCTGCAGTGAGGTCCGAGATCAGACACTTCACGCAGGTCAACACAGTCAGGTATAAACACAGGGATGCCAGCACGAACGGCCATCGGCGATGCGGTTCGGAGGAAAATTCTGCCCGGGTCCGACTTCCACTTTTGACGGATGATGTTCATACGATGTTTTGGCTCTAAACTGAACGTCCACGGGGGTTGGCTTGACCTCTTATCCATCTCATTCCGTCATCCTCCTACACGAATCATCCGGGTCTTCTCCCTTTTCCATTTTTCAGTTGTCCACCACATTCGCAATAGCCCCTTCCCATGTACCTTCGTATTCGATAACCCAGATACACATCGATGTACGGTCATAGCCAGCCACGCAGAGAAGTAGCTACGTAGCTTTGCCAACTCACCAGGATCCCTACCAACTTCCATCTCACCGTCGTTTCTCTTCTGGTGCATGGGTAACTCCGTCCGTATGATGAAACTTGGATGTCCCGGCCTCCCTGTGAGCATCCTTTCTGGAATCCCCTCACCTCGTGGCAGCACATTGGAGTGTTTTGAAGCCGCACACTGACTGCAACACGCAGCCGACCGCACAAAAACACCAACTGAGGAAGACCACCCTGTCGATCCCTGAGGACCCTGATTTGGGCCGTGAGGATATGTAATTTCACCCCAAGACTTCTGCAGCGGTCAATTCCGAGCAAACCCAGTCAACTGAGTGGTATGCCCGTAGCCCAGCCCGGTGCCCCGTGGCCGTCGATAGTGTAGTCTCTCGATGCGCCGGCCGTCCATTGATGGTCCGTCGATCGATCAGGATCTGCAAAGCCTACACGTTGCTGTCTTTTTTCCCCTCCTTGCTCGCTCCTCGTCTTTCTTGAGCATCACAT